ATTTTATACATCTGGTATTCCTTTTCTAATGTCTGACTCTATCAAATCTTGNGTACTTTTTTTTTTCAAGCCAAGATTCCCTTACTCAATTGCTCCCTTCCACATAATTCTTAGAGGGTTCCTGGCACAGAAGATTTTACAATGTACATTGAACTTATTGAAACAAAGTTTCCTATGCGTGATTGAATTGTTTTTACTCCACACATTGTTGATTCATGTCAAAGAGAAAATTACAGGGCCCAGTGTTTTTTTTAAATCATTCAGTGAACTACAGAACAGACCAAATCATGTTTATTACTGTAAATGTTTTGCAGTGGTTTTATGTTCACGGTTTTCCTTGTGACTGCTTTGGCGCAAATGCATAATGTGTCTTTCCAATGTATTACTACTGTACTTCAGAATTGTTTCAACAATGTATCTAAACCACAGCAAAAACCTCCTTTTTTCCCTAGCTGTAATAAGAAAACCATCAAGAAGAAATATGAGTTTACGGTATATTGTTTGTTCAGTGCATTATTCCTTTAGTAGGATTTTTTCCCCATTGGATATGCTGTTAAACTGTTTTGTACTCATAACACTGATCACAGAGATCTGCTTGTTTGCAGGCCACAAAGAAAAGTGTCCCAGAACAAAAGGCAGGCCTTGTAAGTTGTGTAGCGAGTCCTCCCTTAAGCTCTGAACATTTTCACTCACGTTTCTGTCCCATCTGATTTGCCTTTCTAGCTCAACAGCCTGGCGGTGGGAGTGGCCAACAGCCAGACTACTCAAAAGCATGGGAGGAGTATTGGAAGAGGACAGGTAGGCATCTCGCCAGGCCCTCAAGAAAAGTCATGGTGCACTCTTCCAACATGTGTAGGGACTTTTCTCTGGTCTCCAAGCCTTGAACATGTTTTCAGGGTAGTCTCTAAGTTGTTCACTTCTGTTCTTCTACCCAAAAGTAATAGTTTTCATTCACAAAACTTGTCTGAAAAACATGCCCCTTCCCATTCATTGCACAGGAGCAGGGAGATCTGATTCCACAGAAAAAAGTGTATGCACAAGATGTAAAGCATTAGAGAGAAAAGCAGGTATGGAAACACAGTAGGTAGTTGGACCGGCACATTAACTGACCTTGTGGTTTGACCCGTTCTAGCTGATCAACAGCAGCAACAGCCGCAGCAACAGCAGCCGCAGCAGCCAGGAGGACAGCAGGGAGCGCCGGCACAGCAGCAGACACAGCAGACTGGACAGCAGGCTCAGAGCGGACAGCCAGACTACACCAAGGCTTGGGAGGAGTACTACAAGAGACAGGGTGGGTAACTTACCTTTTACACTATGTGAGATCTGATTCCTGATCCCACATTGAAAGATCTAAAAGTACTGCTCCATTATAGTTCAGATTTACAAGCAAAGTTATTTTGTAGCATCTAGCAAGTAACATGGCTGAGATGATTACCATTGCACACTTTTGCTAGAACTCAGTTTCCTGCTCGTGGATATTGGGTGTATATGTTGTGCAACAGAAAAGCTGGCAGGAATTTCGCTAACACCACAAGGGTCTACAGCCCTATGAGTGGAGTTTGATAGTACTCTTTGCCACAGTACTACGAAAACCGGCTTGTCTGACTCGTGCAGCACAAGATTTGTAGTGCAAGTACACTGATGGATCTAAAGATCTACTGCACCTCATAGCGTAGTTAACAGATGGATAGTTGCTGCAGTGTGGCTGTTCTACTGCTACAGTTTTTGCGGGTTTTGATTGTGTTTCCTTATGATGCTACAGCTCAACAGCAGCAGCAGCAGCCAGCGGCCCAGCCACAGCAGGACTACAGCCAGGCCTGGGCAGACTACTACCGTCAGTACGGGGGAGCTCCCGGACAGAGCCAGCCTGGCCAGCAGGTAAATAGCCGATGCCGTCCAGTATGTGTGTGTGTGTGTGTGTGTTAGAGAGGTTTCAAATGTTGTTGGAAGTGAAGTCCGAGCTTGACAGTTGTTGTGGTAGTTTGCTGCATGCTTGGAACGCTAACGTTTTGAAGATGGTGGCGCCAACAAGAGAGAATGCTCTACAGCTCCAAAGAAGACTGGATGATTCATACTGGTGAAAACTGGAGGATTGCATTCGGTAAAGATTGGTTGTGGCATGTGTGTGAAGAATGTAAGTAGAATGAATGACAAACTACTGGAACTAAGCATTCTGTCGGATAGTTCATCTGAGTGAGTGAGATCTTACTCAGGAAGTGTTGTTGTTCGAGTGCTGTTGTTCCAGTAGCTACGTGTGATGTGTAGTTTGTAGAGTGTTATACTCATTGAAAGTTTCTACCTTTTCAGGAGCCAAAAGGTCTTTGCCAGTGAAGACAAGGATTTGGCTAATGAGTTTAAGATTGCTCTGTTCCACAGGAACATGCATTGAACTGCTGCTTCGTCGAAGTAACAAGAGAACTCTTGTTTTACAGTCTTGCTGGCTGGAAACCCACGTGGATGACCAGGTTGGCCTGTGAGGGCGTCCTCACTAACTTCTTCCTTTCTTCTTGTTACACATTTCCAGGGACAGTAAATGTGCTGCCAAGATGTTGATTTGTTTGTTGTGGATTGCGGGAGATTGCTCCATCGATAATGACCCTCCACCCGAAGATCTGGATTGATAAATGGGCCCCAACAAATATATTATGATTGCATGTTAGACTGTCCTGTGAAGATAGATTGTTCCAACATCACTTATCATGGTTATATGCACTCCTAGTGTTAATGTATAGATTAAACATGTATTTTAGATTCAGACTAAATGTATTGTGACTTAGATTTGACATACTTGATTATGACCGCGATTTTGATGTACTTTGTGATGCTTAGTGATTGATAACGTCAGGTGTATAACACAACAGATAAAGTGGCCATTACCATCTCTTATTGTACTAGTTGGACATTCAATGATCGTATTATTCATACATAGGATATTTTGCACTGCATATGTTTTTTTAGTGTACTCCCAATATATACCACCCCTTGTTCTCTGATGCGTGTGATATATACTACAACTTGACATTGGTGCGAGGCATTTTTCAGTGGTACATGTTGTGCGTAGCGGTTAAGCAGTGAAATTTTGATGTCGTTTTTGTTGCTCCTTTTTTTTCTTCATGTCTTATAAATGTCTTCTCTACCTAGTAAGTAGCATACCTTGACGGGGGCTGGAGGAGAGGCAAGGCCGTGCCTTCGCAAGGTGACAATTTTAGCGTAAGGTACACGTATAACCACAAGTAGGAAACATGTATAAATGTGTGTCATACTGACTGTAGCATTGGTTTATAACAATGACTCGGATGTACGTTGAACCGCTAGTGCATGCTCATCTACTAGTCTAAGACCACGAACAAGATGCCTGAGAAAGCTGCTCCGAGATAGTGCCAGGGATTTCAAGAACCCCCAATATTGTTTTCTTTTTATGTTTTAACCAGCAGAGATTCAGTGTGGGAAAGGGGCACTCTAAATAAAGTGCAGGCATCACGTTCAACTCAGTTTGACTTCTGATGTACCGGTGGTTAAAAAATGCGGCATGTGACCAAGAAGGGAAAAAAAGCTACTCACTGAAGATGTTCTTCCCTGGGTCACTCAAACCTTGGTCACATGATTTCAGCAATATCTCTTGTTTACTGTATCTTTGATGTATGTTATATGCACCTCATTAATGTTGGTTTAAGACTTTTTGATGTTTCATTAAACTGCTTCGTAGAGACATTGCCATGTCTTTCTACATTGCCTTGTACTGTTTCTTGATGTGTGATGCTTTTGACGAACTTATGCCATTGGTTACGATGATGAGATTGAAGACAACTGTCATATGACATGCTTTCCTATGATGCAACCTCCCCCTGAAAAGAATTCAGTTCTAAGATGTCTTTGATATATGTTGTTGATGATGATTTGAGTATTATGGCATTATTTTTGTCTCAAACATGTGAAATTCCCCCAAAGTCTACCACGGGATTCAGCAATCCGTAAGTACACAATGAACCAGTATCAGATGCGAAGGATCTGTTGTGATAGTTTCATGACAGTTTCTCTTTTGAGGATGAGATTTTCATGCAGTGATACATTTTAAAGGACACCCTTCCGGATGAAGAGTGGATGGTACAGGAATCCGTGTATCCCGCAAATGCCAGAATTTTTAATTTTTTTGGAATGAGAACAGTTATGTGACTTAATGCTGTCTCCAATACAATGTGCATTTTTCAGGAGGAGAACATGATAAAATTGGGATTCCAATGATTACTTGTTGGCAATGTGATTTTGTTTTGAAGTTGATGCAAAGTAGTTTCATGATGTTGAAATGTCTTTGATGGACAGTCAATGTTAGTTTTTGTTTCTATGGCCAGATGCAATTTTGCAGGAGAAGACCCCCATGGAATGGGACTTCAAGCTTCCAAACCTGTCTTCTGCGCCTAGGCATTCTCTTTTGTGCCAAATTAGATAGCCCTGTCGTAATGTAGCATTACTAAGATCTTATGATTCATTGATGAGCTGGTTGAAATGCCACTTGTTGATTGATAGTTATGCTACCCTTTTCAACTGATACACTGGATTTTATTTCTGCTGATTTGTTTGAAAATGCTTTTTTATCAAAATGACTTGATTCTTCCATTGTTTCATGATGTGCACAATGTGTCTTTCATTGCACGTACTGCATATTCTTGCAAATCTTAACAGTGATTGGCAACTCTTTCTCTTGTTCCGTACAATCTTCTTTATTTTAAAACAAGAAAAGTGATACCCATGTAAAATATATGGTCCTGGCTGTGGGAACAAAAGTGAAAAATGCACATTCTGTAGCTCAAACTTCAAGCCCTCCCCCCAACTGCAAGTCTCTAGAATTTGCTCAACTCCATACATTTCACAACCCTCAGAGACCAGCAAGATGCCACAACAAGACTTGTACAATTTGTCATGCCAAATGGCAAGAAAACAAAATAAAGGGTTCCTGTTGTAATAACCCCTCCTGCCCCTATGCATCTTGTAGTCATTATTTTTTGGGTCAGTGATAAATTGAATTTTTGCTAGCTGGAAAAAGAAGGTTGTCAATTCAAAAAGACATCTATGTCAGGATGGATTGAGGTGATGATATGGACCACTGTTACGGTAATCATAGTTTACTGGGTATATGCATTTCTGGGTTTGTAATAATGTGTGAGTGAGAGCACGTGCCTTAGATGTGTGCGTGTGTGTGCGCATGTGTGTGTGAGAGACAGATATATCAGAAAGGTACCTAAATATCTGTCCGGAAGGTTTGCTAAACAACCTTTGAGAGAGTTGAATCTGTGGATACAACATCATACATAAAACTGGTCACAAATACTACACTCAGTTCCACTGGTATCAACAAAAAACATTGCCTCATACATTGGGTCATGTGGTTCACCAAGGCACCACACCAACTCTAATATGATAGCTGGAAAAGATGGAGAATTAAAATTCAACTTAGAGCAAACCTTTTCCAAGCACATTCTACACTATAACATTGGTAACAGGTAAGTCAGTTTTTCCCAACATCTTTATTCCTGATCTGTGTGTCCTTCACTTCACAACCCCCCTCTACAGAAACAAACCACATTCATGTACAACTTGATGAAAAAGTTGCCAATCATCTGTTACTAACCCCATCATCACTTGGTGTTTCCTTTTGCATGGTGTTCCTCATCCAATGTAGATATGCTTTGTTTATTGACTGATGCA